ATAATGGACACCCGGCGCCTCCTCATTGGAGGGAGGGTCGGTGGGGTTGGCACACTCCCTCCAATGAGGAGGTGCCGGATGTCCATTATGGACATCCCGATGTAAGATGTGATATACCTCTAACATCTCCCTTTTTAGTTAACAAAATAAAATTTTAATTTGCTACGTCATGCAATTAATTATCATTCTTAGTTGAATTAATATAATTTTTCATAATTTCTAGTTAAGATTTCTTTAAAATTTTCAAAGTAATTTAAAAAAAAAAATTAGAAAATACATATTTGTGAAATATAGGAAATGATTTCAAGATTTTAAATTAAAATCCACAAAAGAATGAATAGATTCTCAATTCGACCACACAGAAATAACTATCAACAGAATATTAACCAATCAACCTTCCTATAAATAAGAATGTTGAGTTGGTACAAAACACAAACAAAATTTCTTTTAATCTGCCTAAACAAAAATAACCAAGAAACATGGCAAAGCTTATCCAAGTTTCATTTTTCTTCGTCGTAGCTTTATGCTTCCTATCCCTACCTAACCTCGTCTACTCAGAAGACGTTCCCCAACCCCCAATTTCTCAATTTTACGTTCAGGGACAAGTTTATTGCTACACATGTTGAGCTCGATTCATTACTGAACTTAGCGAGTTCATCCCAGGTATATAATTATAATATATACAAAATGCTACTCATATTGTATCTTACTTTTCCTTGTTATCCCCAAAAAAAAAAGCTCTCACTTCAAATTGGTTGTCCCCGCATTTGTAAAATTTCGGCAAAAGCTGAATTTGATGCTTCAATTGTTTCTGAACTTTCTTATCTAACAGTTTACGAGGGAGGTACATCATCATGCAATAACAACACACTCTATCTCAATAATCCAATTAAATAAATGTGTGGTTATAAGAATTCCTTTGTTGTGCATTCGTGCATCTTTTTATGGTGGCGTATTTGTTGTTGAGGAAGTGGATTATAACAGATACAACTCATAAACTACGACTTAAATCTTGACTTGTAGGTGCCGGTGTACGCCTGTAGTGCAAAGATGGGGAGAATGGAAACATAACATTTACTGAGGTAGGTTACACGAGAGCGGAAGGACTCTATAGCATGCTCATTGAACGCGATCACAATAATGAATTTTGTGAAATCACATTGCTTTCAAGTAGCAGAAAAGATTGTGATGAATTTCCTACTGAAGGATGAGTAAAACCATCGTTGAAATTTATACTCAATACAGTAAATGGTACCACACGCACGATAAATCATCTTGGATTCTTCAAGAAAGAATCTCTTCCAAAATGTCGACAAGTCTTTAATAAATTGGGTATGTACCCCCCAAATTTGTGAAGAGCAAAAAGAAGACGTTAATTTATTACAAAATTCTTAATTTCCTCAATTTAATGTAGTTGAATAATTCTTTGTGCCTTTTTTGTAAAGGCTTTTGATGGCCTAATTAGAGTGCCTTGTAGTATAGAATAATTTTGATTTGTAATTTCCGTAAGTTCCCAAGAATTTCCTTGTGGAAAGACAATAAATTTTTTAGATTATGAGATAAACAGTATATGTAATTTTCTTCTATGCGCGAGCGCACGAACAGTTCAAGTGTAAAAATTAATTGAACTTCATGCAATAAACCAACCCAAATTAACTCCTAAAGGTGGTCCTTAA